ATTAATTAAGTTTCGAAACAGGCTCAAAAACGTAATTTCTCTGAATAAACCTGTTTCTTTTTTTTCTTAACATATTTGGACTCTTAACCTTTAAAATTTAGGGCGTTGCCGCAATCTGGAAAAAATAGTCTCCTTAGTTAGCTCAGATGAGCTATCCAAAGTTCGGACCCCTTAGCTATTAATTTCACCTTTTGCGTTTTTTATCATATTTTTATAACTAATTAAGATAATCTAGAAAATTTGCCCCCACTCATGAAATCTGTTTAAACAAAGGTAATTTTTTGCAAAAAATAATTTTTAATAATTATTTATTTTTTATTAAATAAAAAACTATTATTATTATTATTTTTATTTATTAATTCTGGATTAAAAAATTGTGAATTATAAAAGTATAAATTGCTTTATACTGTATTAATCTGCATATTTTTCTATTGAAAAATTTAGAAATTCAATTGCTTTTATTTAGCAGAAGCCGAGAAAAATTAGAATTAGTTATTTTTAAAAAAGTAATATGGCGACAATGAAGAGATATTTAAATGTTTAAATAGAAGAGTTATTAAATATTTAAATGTGATTAACTAATGAGTAGCATAACTTGTGTGCGCGTAGCGTAAAATTTCATTCATATTTTTTTTGTTGCTAATAACCGATCACTAATCTTTATTTTTAATTAAATAAAACTTCGCTTCTTTTTCTTCTAAAATTCGTTGTTTCTTCTAAAATTTTATTCTTAATTTAGTAAAGAAATTTGTATAATACATTTTATTGAATAAAAAAACAATTTATTCAACGAATGACGAGATTTATAAAAGATTGTTTCTGATAGAATGTGATTATAAATTAGCTTTTTTTAATTTTACTTTTTAGTTTTTATTTCAATAACTGATACAATTTCAATATATAGATAGGTATGCGCAGATTTGGAATAATATACTCATCAATTTCTACATTATATGTTTTATAATTATAATATGAATACGTAGTCAACATTTTTAAGCATCTTAAAATTTCTCAATATCTTATATATATATCGTCGTAATCTTCAAAAAAAATTTTAATTACCTGTCCGCGCGTGTTTTGCTGAACTATTCTACCAACTATTAAATTAAATTTTAAAATTTCTCAAAATGTTATTCCTTACGCTGCCACGTATATTATTTTTTCATTAATATATACATTTCAATTTTTTTGTACTTTAAGATTTTTTTCTAAAGTAAAATTTCTTTTTAAATTATTGTCAAATTTTTATTAAAAGAAAAGCTAGCTAGCTGAGAATTAAATCTTATTAAGAAATTAAAAACATTCTACATTTTAAAATTTTTTAATTCAAAACAGCTGACTATTTATTAAGCATACTATTTTTTCGAAAAATGAAGATAAATTATTGATTGTCTTTTTATAGTGTTACTTATTTATTTCAGTAATGAAAATTAAATGCATCTATGTACACAGCAAAAATAATTCAACAGATTGTTTTGTCTTTTGAATGAACAACAAGTTATGGGCATGCAATTTTATTTTGACATTCAAACTCATTCTCCCCCGCAAACTTCAGGAAAATTGGCCTTTTGAAAAGGTTGATGTTAAAAAAAAAATTTTAAATTTTTTATTAAATATTATTTTTCAACTTTAGCACAGTTCAAAAAAAATATTGTTACATCATTAGTTTATGCCCAATTGAAACGTGACACTGATTTAATTGAAATCTGTTTGGACTTACTTGAAACAGTTAGAAACTATAAAAATTATAAGAAATTAAACTTATTCCTTTATTTTGCTAAGAGCAGCAATAATGAAGAAATATGAGGAAAAGCACCGTTTACCATCATACTTACTATTGATACATTTAATCATATAACTTGAGTTATTTAACCAAAAAAAATTAATTAAAATAAAGAGTAAAATTAAGTTATCTTTTAAAATAATAACTAATTAAATAATAACTTTTAATATAATTAAATAATAACTAATAAAATAGCTTAATACTTTAATAACTAATTAAATAATAATCATATACTTAATTTAAATAACTTTTAAGATAATAATTTAAAACTTAAGATTTTATAACCAGATACTTAAAGTTACACATTGAAATTGACTATCTAATGCTGTGAGAAATGTAAGTGTAATAAAATACATCTATCTTCTTAGTTTTTCTGCCACCATTACAGTTGCTTAAGGACGTTAAGAATTGTGATTAAAATGAGACTGTCGTATCAGATATATGAATGTAATGATCGTAAGAATCGTAAAATAAGTTTGTAATCAAAGGAATAAATCAAAGAAATTATCGAAGCAATATTTGGTGATTGTATTTGTTGAACATGTTGTGCGACAATTTATGGTTAATTTACGAATATTCGTTTCAGAATGTTTAAAAACATCAGGATGCTATTTGCAAATTATTTTTTTGTAAGGAAAGCCACGTAAATCTCATATTTGATAAAATGAAACGATTTCTTAAAAAAAATGATTCATACAATATTCTTAAACGTTCAATCTTTTTAAAATGACACGTAACATTCACTAATGTCTTCAATTATAAAAAAAGGCTATATCGTGAATTATATAAAACCTTATGAATATGCATCCAAATAATCTCTTCCAGATATTTAACATTTTTAATGGGATCTGTTTCGTGATTTGCCCTGCCCAACTCTGTTTGCAAATTTGGTTTTAGCAAAATATCTTTATATTTAACGAAGTTAAAAACAACTTAAAAAATAAAAATAATGCCTAATGAAAATTATGAACGATTTATAAATCGATTCGACTTTTATTTTTTAAGGAGATGAAAACGAAAGCAATCCTTGTTTTTTGGGCAGAAATCAACTAAAAACAAATCTGTTGCCTAGAAACTTCAAGATCTTTTTCTTTTAACTATTTAAAAAGAAAAAAAAAGTCTTTCTGACCCGAGCTAACACGAAAACGATAAATGGCTTCAGTTTTTATTTCATTATTTTTTTATTCTATCAGCTAGGTTGCTTAGCAACGGAGTATTGGCGATAACGCAATTAGAGTAGATTACATTAAATTTCTCCTCATTCCATGGTGATGGTTTTTGGCCTATCTTTAGGATGACGCCAAATATATATAATTTCCTACCACCTCAATTTTTTATCCAATTTTATCTCCCTCCTATTTTGAGAGTCAGGAATATACAAACATAAATGTATATATTTATTCAGAGAAAGTGCGTTTTTGTATCTGATTTAGGAACTTAATTAATTGTTAGCAATAATTAAGAAGCATATTTAAAATCCCCCCCAGAAATCATTAAGATTGACGCTTAGTACATGAAAATACGATCATTAGAACGAAAGTTATTCACTATTATATTTTTTTTTCACACTGTACACCTTTAATAAAACCTAACAGATGTGCATAGTCTTAAAGAATGTAAGCTTAAAAGACAAAAGACAGTGAAATCGGTCGATTAGTTCCTGAGTAATCGAATTTTAAATATACGACTTTTTCAGAACTCAATTTGTCTGGTTTCTTTCTCTTCTGTTTTTTAGTTATTTTTATTTTTGCTNTATTGCTCGCTAAAACCGGGTCTTGCTCGTTAAAAGCGACTTCTGTTCCATAGACTTAACATTGATCCAACCAAATATTCTCGTTTCCCTCGGCAAATCCGAGTTCTCGTTAAATCCGAGTTCTCGTTAAATCCGAGCTCGTTATAAACGAGTTCGACTGTATACGACTTTTTTAGAACTCAATTTGTCTGGTTTCTTTTTCTTCTGTTTTTTAGTTATTTTTATTTTTGCTCCTCATTGCAGACCAAGCCTCATATAAATATTGTATAATTTTAATGTCCTCTCTTACTAATTTTGCTGAATTGCTAACATAATTGCATAAATTAATTATGAACACTAATTTTAATAAATTTCGTTACAATTGTGCGTATTGGGCTTTTTATCCTCAGACTAGAAAACGGATTGCATATATTAAATAATTTAATGAAATAGCGTATGGAATAACGAATTTATGAAAAAAAATTTCGAAAATTTCTTACGAATGTAGACTAATATACGGAAAGCTTTTACTCTATTTATTTATTTATTTTTAAAAAATTTATATGGTCTTTTTATCCCCACTATCAAATCTTTAAAGTTTAAATTTGTCAGTGATTTAAAAAATTCTGTTCTTGAAAATGAACATTTTATTTATTTTTTTCTTCGAATGAGCTACGAGATACTGCACTTGTAAGAAGCAATAGATAAGAGTTTCTGTTGATCTAATGCCATTTACCAGTATCAGCATGGCCGGGATAGCCTGGTCGGTAGGGCGCTGGGCTCACGTCCGAGAGTTCGTGGGTTCGAACCGCGCCGGCCGAAGACTCCCCGTGTAGTTGGTGAACGATGCAAGTTAAAATTCTGTCGAGTAGCAAAGTCCTCCATTTTCCCATAACAAATCAACACCTCTGGGGGTACTGGATTGGAAATCGATTGTTCTCTGATTCAGGTCAAAATTACGATCTGTGGATCTATGAATGGGTCCGCCTTATAAACAGGTGAGACGTATGATGTGGCAGAAGTCGAATTCTTGGTCATAGATGGCGCCACTGAAAAATGAGAATCACACACTCTGCCTTAAATTTGCTTGGTTTCACCAAGAAGACTTGCCCGTGTGGCATTAGAACCAACCAACCAGTATCAGCAAGCCTGCTTGATGAAACTAGGCGGATTTAAAGCAGAGGGTGCGTTTGTTGTCTTTCAGTGGCGCCCTCTATGACCAAGAGTACGACTTCAGCCGCATACAACTCACTGTATAGGATGAATAGGAAGAACCAATCGTACATCCATTCGTTCATCCACAGATCGTCATTTTGACCTAAACCAGAGAGCGATCCGTCTCCAATTCTATGCTCCCAGAGGTATGATTTATTGTGGGAACATGGATGACTTTGTGACCCGACATATTTAACGTGCACCAGTCACCATTTACTACACTGGGAGTGGAGGGCCATCATTAAGATTTTCTCTTTTGTGTCATTCTAGGTACTTACTTTGCCTGCATTATGGTTATGGTTGCTTTCTCAGTGGTAATGACAGTTGTTGTACTTAATTACCACCACAGAAGTAGTGACACCCACGAAATGCCTCATTGGGTATTTATCTTCCTTTCTATTTAATAGAATTCTTTTATAAATGTAGCTGCTATAAAGCCCTTCACGTTTCCTTTATTTGTTTGCCATAACATTTATAGTTTACCATAACATAACATTATTAGTTTTCCATAACATAATTTTAAAACCATGTAAGTATGTTTTTTTAATGTTGAATATGAACAATGCGCATGCGCAAGTTCTTCTTCCGATCCATCAGTGCCATTCAAGAATTTGGATAGTATCGTATGAATCCTTCAATTTCTTGGAGAGAGAAATTTCTCCAATTTCTGGGATTTAAGAACTTGGACCAGGCATTTAGTCTGGAGGAGTTCTCCTCAAAGCCGCTCATTAACTCCTTCCTTCTCGCTCCCGGGAAGGTTTTGCCCTCTATTTCTCGCTCCCGTGATATTTCCGGGCTGGAGTGTACAGTAGTAGCGCGCCAATAAGAATAAACTAATTCATCTATTTTGCCCGGAAAACATTTTATTTCTCATTTTAAACACCAGATGGCAGTACCAGGATATTTTTAGAGTAAATGTAAGTAGTTTAGTTAATTTTAAACTAGATGTCAGCACTGATCAATGTTTAGGGATTAAAAAAGGCACTTTTATGACAGTTTTCTTGAAAATTAACCGATCGAAGAAGAAGAAAAAAATTAAAATAAAAAAACTTCTTTTTTTTCCAGATCCGATCAATGTTCCTCATTTGGCTCCCCTGGCTTCTGAGAATGCAGAGGCCGCCTCCAAAACTCCAGAGGAAGGCCTTCTTCGGGTCCAAGAAAGAACTGGAGTTGAGACAACGTTCTTCCAGGAGCTTACTGGCCAATGTGATGGACATAGACGACGACTTCAGTACTTCGGAGGAGCAGCTGGCCACCGTCCGTGGTTGCTGTCCAACTCAGAGGGAACTGGCCGCCATACTTCGCGAGTTGAGATACATCTCGAACAGGATGAGACGTGAAGACCGCGTCACGGACATAATAGCGGAGTGGAAGTACGCCGCTATGGTTGTGGACAGAGTATGCCTCATTGTGTTCACCTTGTTTACTGTACTCTCCACCTTCATATGTCTCTTCTCCGCCCCACACCTCGTAGCTTGACCCAAACACAAAGTTAACATCTCGGACAATATTCTTTTTTTTAACCACGATAGGTTATCCGACTTCATGCGCCAAAATCTTTGTTTTAGAACTTATAATCACTCAAAATCCTCGGACCGGTTAAGGTTGACTCAGCCTTTCATTCCTTCAGTGGGTCGATAAATGAGTACCAAGCATGCTTGGGAACTAAACACTAGAGGCTCTGCGTTCGGCTGACCACCTGACCGGAACATGTGCTCCTACACACCAGAGCCCAAGGTCAAGAAAACTGAGATGGGCACAGTAGGCCTTGGCCCTCTAGGGCTGTCGCGCCGCTGAGTTGAGTTCAGTTTAGTTTAATCATTCATCATGTCATGTCGTGAAATTTTATTAATTAAATATTGTTTTCATATTTTATTTAGCTATATGTTTTCTTTATTTGAAAACAAAACTTTATCGAATGACTATTATTCAAAATCGCGCTAAACTATCAGCTATTTTTTCGACAGAGATGATTTTTTTTAAATGTTTCTGTGTTTAAATTGATGATAAGAATCTACAAAATTATGTTAAAAGAGCCGCGATGGCTTAGGGGATAGAGCACTTAGGTGAGCCGGGTTCGAATCCATGCAATGGCCGGTCCATACGAATCAGCATCCGACTTGCATAGGTCACAATGCTGACGTGAAATATAATCAGTGATTGACGGATCATGGGTTAGAGTCCGTTTGCAGTCAAGCTAACAGAAGGAGTTTTTCGTTATTTTCCTCTCCATTTAACGCAAATGCGGGTTAGTCCCAACAAAAAAATCCTCCACAAAGGCAGATTTCTCCCTATACTTGATCTTGGAGTTCCCTTGTCTTCTGGATTTTGTTTAAAATTACAAGGATACGGAGTTGAACATTAGTAATCCTACACCCGAAAATTGGGTCAGCTGTTCAACGACTGTTATAAAATATATTACGATATTCATTTTATTTGAAAAGAAAACTTTATCGAATTGCTATTATTCAAAATCGCGCTAAACTGTCAGCATTTTTTGACAGACGTGATTTTTTTTAAGTGTAAAAATTTTTGAACAGCTTTAATCCTTGATACGAATCTTCCAAATTGTGTTAAATGTATGAAAATTTAAAAATAAATTCGTTTATCCAAATCTACACCAAAGTGATAGGAGTAGTGCTATAAAAAGAGTGTTGACATTATTTTATGAAACGAAATGCAATTCGGTAAAAAAATACATTATTTTTTTCATTATTATTATTACTCATTGCATGAAATGCTATCATATGATAATTGAATTTCATCGAATTTATTTGTAGTTATTTCAATTTCGAAATTGCGTAGTTAAGGTCTTCAAGATTAAACGGTTACATATTTCAAAAATCACACTTTGATTGAATTCCTTAAAAGAAAGAATATTGTCCGGAACTTGTTACTGATAAATATGTTACTGAATGACTATCCTTTGAGATACTTTGTTTATGAGAAAAATCAAAGTAACTTTCGAGATTTCTATGGTGTGTGTGTGTCTGTGAATCTCCGACACGATTATTACTAATATTGAACTCGTAGAAAACAATTCATAAATTGAAGTTATCGATTGCAAAATTCTAACCATGTTTGGGGTGCCCTCTAAAGTTCTCATCCATCTTCTTAAAATTTGGAACTACTGTAAAAATTGGTGTTTAGGTTTAGTAAAGTGGCTACAAGAGGGGATCTTTTAAAGCGAGCTCCACCTGATAGAAAGCTGGTAAATTAGCGTTTAAATTTCAAAAACAGTACGATATAGGTTGGAAAAAATAAATGGCATACAGGGTGTACAGTGTAGCATTACTTATGAATAGATCTGTCTTGAAAAGTAACTGGTTAAAAAAATTCCGCGAATTTTAACAATCAAAATATCTATTTTGAAAAGGGATGTCACACGTCTAAGTGCTTCATTATACCGGGAATTTTTAGCTCTTACTCGGTGTAAAGTAGCAAGTTTTTCATTCGTAACACTAAAATTTAATGACGGTAACATAAAATACTCATAAGAACCAATAAATTTTAAGGGAACAATCATTAATTTAGGATATATATGTTAATGACCGAAATCGGTGGTTGTTGACTTGGTGTCGAAACACCATTGAATGGTGACAACCACATACACAAATATCCAAAATATATACTAAATCTAGTTAAGTGATACATTTGCCCGGTATACCCTACAGTGTTATTTTTTCAAGGTGCAGTGCTATTGCCCGGTATGCCCTACATCTCAACCCCTGTGTTGCGGCACTTTTGTGCGACGCCAAATTCTTAAAATGAGCCTCCAAATATTAGAAATGATACAATAAAAATTATAATGCTTTTTTTATGACGAGTAAAGTTTTAATTAAAGAAAAGTGTAAAAGTGTACATTATCTCTATATATATATATACATTTTTTATAATTTTTCCGGTTCATAACCGCGTGAAAATCTTTGTCATCGGTTGTCCTGTCTCTGACAATCCTAAAATAAGTTAAAATAAGAAGGAATCGTTTAAATTGTCCATTACAATTTTGAAAAATGTTGAATTAAGTAGAAAAGTTAATGACCATTAAAATTATTAATTAACAAAACAAAGAAAGCTAAATGTGACTTTCAAACGGAAATAAAAGCTAATCATTAAAGTAAGATATGCAATTAATAGTTATAAAAGCAAATTAACAAAGGATAACTAACAAAAAAATATGCTAACAATTAATAATTAGCAAAAAAACTAGTTAACAAGAAAGCCCAAAAAAATAACAATGTGCAAAACAAGCTAATAATTAATAACTAGCAAAAAAATAAATAACTGTAGCTAACTAATAAAAAATTAGTCGAAAGAAATAATTATCTCTTAATAAACGTGCATTTGTAGTACATATTATTTTATTTCACATTCAAAATTATTATCACAAACTATTTAACACAGTATATTATAGGTAGGTAAACAACTTTTAAACTAATTTTTTTCATTGTATGCCGTCAAATTTCGAAATCGTTAAAAGTGTGCCGCCACAAAAAAAAAGATTGAGAATCACTGCCCTACATTAATGTTATTTTAAAGTCAAGTGTCACAGCTCAGTATACGTTTAACCCGTACTCCGAACGCTGATGTTCCGCCTAATCTATCATCAGCAGTTATTAAAATATCGAATAAATATAATAATATCAATGAATAAATATTCATATCAAATGGAATATAGCAAATATTTCAGATATTCACCAAAGCAATTATGTGATTGTTAACATTCTCCGGTGCAAATCGACATTCGCTTGATTTCGGCCATTTACGGTAACATATACAAAAAGTTCATCATGATCATAGTTGGTCAGACAGCCCCATGTGAGCCAATGCCTTCCTCTGAAGATTTCTCCATGAAATTAGATAAAATTAGTTTGCGAATCTCACACATTTAAGAACACAGATATCTCGAAATGTCTATACTTAACGAAATCTATAATCCGTTTTCCGTACTGGTTGTGTGATATGAATAATAATACCGCAGGTGGTGCTGATCTCATAACAGCCACTTTACTGTACTTAGAGACCACATTTATGGCTTTTGATGAAACCATTCAAAAATTAAGAAGGTGGATATTGTTCAAAAATATTTTATATTTTAACACTAATTTTATGCAGTATAGTTAAGAAAAAGGCAACAAAGAAAGATTAAATGATATAATCATGATATTATCATTTTCATTATGTATGCTACAATTTATGGTAAATTTTCAAGGTTCAATGAAACTTAAAATGCCTTTCTTGCAAGCACCTCACAAACCACTGGTTTATGCTCCTAATATTTAACTTATTTCTTGAATTTTAATTTTTAGATTTTTTTTCCTTCTTTTTTTTCTTTTTCTATTTTTATCTTTTTATATTACTATTCTAAAAACTTATTCTATGCATTTGCAAATATGTTTAATGCATTTGAAATCTAATTTTCAATACTTGTTGCTTAATACTAGTCCTCACAATTTTAAAAACTAATAATTATTGCCATGGAAATAATTAGATGAGAATTATGTTATCAGATTTCGTTAATTACATATTCAAATGGTGCCACCCCATCCCTAAAAGCAAAAACAAACAAAATAAATTGTAAACGAAATTAATTAAATTTGTAGTAAAATATAATTGGTATCTCACCTAAAAAAGTAAATACTGATCTATTGTGAATAATGCATATCATATTGTTAAAATTATCTATATTTTCTAATATAGTTTTTTTTTCAAATAAAAACTTTAAAGTACAGTGTACTCTCTATAACTCGAATTTTGATATCTCAAAAACCTTGTTATGTCAAAAAAAAATATTTTTCTCCTTCGGCATTATATATCCACCCTACGTTAATTTGAATACCTGTGCCGAAGGGCTTCTTCTGAAATCCTTGTTATTCCGAATATTTTTCGAAATAAAAAATGAAATTTTTTTTTTTGGGGGGGGGGAAAGCACAGTGCTAGTTTATTGTAAACCAACTGTTTTCCATTTAATAATGCATAATTATTTTGGTCTTACTTATAAAAAATAAACATATAATTGTTGTATTTAAACTTATGGCCAGCTGTCATTTCATACATATTCAAAGTAAGTAGCGTTTTTAGAAAGTGCTTACTTCTGATTTACATTTTTAAAGAGTGCTTAGTTTTCTATCTTTCAAAAAGATATTTTTTTTAAATTATCAATTGTAGTTCTAAATTACAAAAGAATGCATGATTTTTTACAATTTTCTCTGCAATATTTATCAGAAACAAGTTTTTTTATCATGATTATGCAAAGACTTTGAAAATGTTTTTGAATTTTATTGATTTTATGTTTATAAATTACGAACTTTAACCGATAGAAAAGACTGCACGGATCCTAATTATGATTTTTATTTTTTGGAAAGTGATTAAAAATATTTTTGGAGTGGTTAAAAAGTACTTAAAAGGTGCTTATTTTTTACTGAAAAATCTGGCTACGCACCCACATATTTAATAGTAGTTATTCTCATATTTCATGACTTTACTTTTTAGAGTAATATATTAGAATACATTTTTATGCTTTTTAGAACACATTAAGTTCTGAACTTGCTAGCTCAAAAAGTCGCTATCTCGAAATTTATTTAGCTTACCTTTATTTTTTAAATAGCCGGTCCTGTGGCCAAGCGGTCAGCTTTTCTGATTGTGAAGCCAATGGTTGCTGTTTCGAATCCTGCTCAGGGCATTTCTCGCTCTCTCTTTTTGTTCTTTGATGTGTGTCAACGGGGTAATTTTAAATGATCAACACTTCCGGCATCTTTAGAGGTGAAAAACGAAAGTTCAGAACCTGCCGTAAAAAAAAATCATTTTTGAGATATCGAGAGTAAACTGTATCATATTAATAGTATAAACTTGCATTCAAATTAAAGTATTTTGGAAGAAATACAACTGACTTCAAACGTAACTGTTTACCTAATTAAAAAAATCGTTTATAATTTCATAACGAGTTTTATACAACGTATTTTTAATAAAATCTTATAATTCAACCAGGCAGCTGTTTTTGATAATAATGTAAACAAGGTATTCAGCTATTTAAAAGCATATAAACAAAAAGCACGTAAGTTCGACGTTTTGGTGCTATTCATAAAAATAATGGATGTGCTGTTTTTAATGAATACAAATATAAAAATTGTTTACCATGTCTAAACTTCTTGAGATGACCACGTAAAGAAGGAGATGGATCTTCCAAACAAAACAGTTAAAATAGTTTTAATAGTTTAGGAAACTATAGAGTCAACTTAGAGTC